TTTGCCCTGCCCTGGGAATGAAATCCTTCTACAGGGAGAGAAGCTTCTCCAGTCTGTGTTCTTTGGGATTTCCCTTCCTACTGGGACAGGAGCATTTCCAGGCYGGGTTTTTGGGATTTCCCCTTCTGTAGATTTTTAGGATTTCCYGTTCTATAGGAACAGAACCATTTCCAATCCRGGTTTTTTAGGATTTCTCCTCTTACAAGAACAGGACCATTTCCACCCTGTTTTTTTAGGATCTCCCCTCGTACAGGACCATTTCCAGTTGGGATTTTTGTAGTATTTCCCCTTCTATAGGAACAGAACCATTTCCAATCCAGGTTTTTTAGGATTTCCCCTCCTATAAGAACAGAACCATTTCCAATCCAGGTTTTTTTATAATTTCCCATTCTATAGGAACAGAACCATTTCCAATCCAGGTTTTTTAGGATTTCCCGTTCTATAGGAACAGGACCATTTCCCCGCTGTTTTTTTTAAGATTTCCCCTCCTATAGGAACAGGACCATTTCCACCCTGTTTTTTTAGGATTTCCCCTCCTATAGGAACAGAACCATTCCCAATCCAGGTTTTTTAGGATCTCCCCTCATACAGGACCATTTCCACATTGGTTTTTCTAGGATTTCCCCTCCTATAAGAACCGAACCATTTCCAATCCAGTTTTTTCAGTCTCCCCCAGTCCAGGCAGTGTCTCTGAACTGTCCCCTGTCCCCAGGTGAGCGTGGTGCAGGACTCTGTGAACATTTCGGGTCAGAACACCATGAACATGGTCAAAGTTCCCGAGTGCCGTTTGGCCGACGAGCTGGGCGGGCTCTGGGAGAACTCGCGTTTCACCGACTGCTGCCTGTGCGTGGCTGGCCAGGAGTTCAAGGGCCACAAAGCCATCCTGGCAGGTGGGTGCAGGAGGGAGGGGGTTCAGGGGCCACAAAGCCATCCTGGCGGGTGGGGGATGGGAGGGAGGGGTCCTAAAGGTGCTTTGGGATAGGGGAGTGGTGCCAGGGTGGTCTGAGTCCAGTGTGGCCTGGGTGCTGCCCACCTGCCTTCCCCATGGTCCAGTCCAGCCTGGGCACTGCCCGGGGAGGGGCAGCCACAGCTGATCTGGAATTGTAGTCCTTGTCATGTTCCCGGGAGGAATCCATTCCTAATTCCTTCCTAATCCCATCTCAATTCCATCCCGATTCCATTGCAGTTCTATCCCAATTCCTTCCCAATTCCATCCCAATTCCTTCCCAATTCCATCCCAATCCCATTCCATTCCCGTCCCATTCCCGTCCCATTCCCGTCCCATTCCCGTCCCATTCCCATCCCATTCCCGTCCCATTCCCCTCCCGCTTCCCACCCAATCCCATCCCAATCCCATCCCAGTCCCTTCCCAGTCCCTTCCCAATCCCATTCCCATCCCATTCCCCTCCCACTCCCCACCCATTCCCATTCCCATCCCAGTCCCTCCCGTGTTCCAGTTCCTGTCCCTGTCCAGGGTCCCTCCCTCTCCAGCTCCCCTGGATCCCCCAGTGCCAAGGGCAGCTCCTGGCAGGAGGGGAGGCAGGAGCCTGCTGGGAGATACTGGGATATACTGGGATGTACTGGGACATCCCAGTTCATCCCCAGCTGTTCTGTTCCCATACTGGGATGTACTGGGATGTACTGGGAGGCACTGGGAGATTCCAGTCCATCCCCAGTGTG